TTTGGAACTGAACAGGGAAGCTTAAATATTTGCGGTTTTACAACACAAACCGCCACATTGGGCCCCAAGGGGTCATTTGTATAAATTTCAGTCTTGAGGTTCATTTCAGATCAATTCTCCACGTGGATTCAAGTGGACTCTTTCGCCACCTCTGGCAGGAACCAGTCATTACAGGTAAAAATTTTTTTTTCCTTTTATAAATAAAATGTCTGACAATATAACCTCTCCCAATTTCAATAACCTTTTTGAGTGTGCCATGTGGGAGATCCTACAAGAGGTGTCTAGCACCCCACATCTATGGATCCTTCTGGGATTAGTAGTTTTCCTTGGTCTTAAGTGGCTTGACAACAAAAGTCTGATAGACTCTTTAAGAGACGAATCCAGGATTCTTAAGGCATTGGTGAGTTCCCGATAGAGCATCTCCATTGTCTCAGTGTGTGGGTGCACCCCTCGCGGTCCTGAGTTCCTTGCTCATGTTCGCTCTCCTTCTGCTCCTGATTTGGACCTTGAGATTTCAGTCCAGTGCTCCAATGTGGGTCTCTGTCTCTGTCTTCTTTCATCGCCTGATGAAGGTTAATATTCAGGAGGATGCCTATATGTTTTTCTTTGGGTTCTCCTTCTTATTTAGCTTCTCTAAGAACCCGAATTATAGCCAAGTCAGCTTTTATCCGTAGCAAAATGTTCCCTTTGATGGGAGATCTTTGTAGTATTGTAGTGGCTGTTTAACTATTTCTAAATTCAGAAGTGCATGGGGGAACACTGTTTATTCACTCCCTAAACCTCAACAAGTAGCACAATTTCAGCATAGAAGTAGGTTATTCTACATTGATTTTTTTTCCACAATCGTCTTTAACAATTACCCAGACATCAATTTCCCCATGCTCTATCATGAGAAACTTCTGCAACATCCTAATTCTAGCCTGTCTTTCTCAACGCAATAGTCTTCAAAATCCGTGTTATACATGGGTCATTAATGTTAACAATACTGACACCTACTACGCATAACCACACTGTTGGTGTGTTGTGTTATTTAATTCTCAGAGCAGTCTAAGGATAGAAGCACCATCTGTTCCTTTTGTGTTGAAGAGGACTCTGAGGCTCGAGGGTGTGGTACCAATGATGGAATATGAGGTTAGAATTCCACGTTAATTAAAGCCCATCATATTGGCTTATGACTTGGCGATGTTAATTTGCTCTTGGGGCTTTGATTTGTACTTCTGTGAAGTGGTGTCTTAGTCAATGTTTTATTGCTGGGAAGAGATGCCATGACCACTGTTATGCCCAAATCCGGGTCCCCACAAAAACCAACGAAGGAGACGGAGTCCCATATGTAAAAACAAAGAGCCTTTATTTTAATTACGTTTGCAAACTTGGTCTCTCCGCATGTCCAATGTGTTGGAATAAACGGAGAGCCCTGAGCTCAATTAGAATTGGGTTTTTTATAGTAGTAAAGGTGGGGATGAGGGGTTTTGAGGTTCAGGACCTCTGATTGGCTGACATCTGTCTAGGGGTGTCCTGTTGAGGTACGCTGGCAGGTGATCTTATCTATAGCGGTTAGAATGCCTGGCGTTTCCTTTGAATGGTCTGCTCTTGGGTGGGGGTCAGGCTATCTCAGCCTGTGGTTCCTCTTTTAGCCCGGTATTGTCTCGGGGTAAACTACTGAGACTCCAGACTCCATTTAAATTCATCGATGGCCAGAGTCCCAGGTGATAATGGTTGGAAGTAAAGAACTTCCTCTGGGTAGCCTGCCCAGACTTAGCTTATCACAGCTGACCCCACAACCACAGCAAATCTTCAATGTTTATTTGGGGCTGGCTAACTCTTTCAGAGGTTCAGTCCATTGTCACGACCAGAAACATGACTGCATGCAGGCATACACGTGCTGGAGAAGGAGTTTGAGGGTTCTACATCCAGATCTGTTATTAGCAGAACGAGAGAGAGACAGGTCGTGGCTTGAATCTTTGAAACTTCTAAGTCCACCCCTGTGACACACGTCCTCCAATAAGGCCACTCCTACTCCACAAGGCCACAGGTCCTAATCCTTCCAATTAGTGTCACTCTCTATGGGTCTATGGGAGCCATTTTCATTCAAACCAACACAGTGGTATCAAGGGCAAAAGGAAATACTTGTTTAGCATCTACACACACTTGGAAGTGCAATGACCATGGAAACAGATCCCTCTGAATGAATAAATAAAGAGGGAAATCTGTAGTGTAGCTAGAACAGGAAATTTATAGAATAAGAATGAGTGCAACTTGGTGTAGTGTAAAAGCGTTTCTTCTTGTGTGTGGTGTGGAAAATTACTAAGAGGAAATGTTAAAAAAAAAAATGTAGGAAAAACACCCTCGTCATTTTGAGGTAAACATGTTTTCCAGTAAGACACAAAGAGGGGCCTCACCCTTCTGTACCCAGTCAATACAGACTTGGTGTAAACATGTTTACCAGAAACATGGACATGACCGGGGACCTCACTCCTCTGTGCTCTGTCGGTATCGATAACTTAGGACATCTGGTTATCAGAAGGATCAGACGAGAGGCAGTTTCAAACTGCATAAAAAGAGAGGGCAGGCGCAAGGCAGTTATCTCACTTTCCCGATGGCCCTGGCAGCCTTGGAGCAAGATCCTCAGGTGCCCTGCCTCCCGAAAGCAGAAACATTTAATGCTTTGCCTCCTGAGGGCTAAGCCTCATTTCCTGAGAGCAGAACGTTGAATGTCTGTCACCCGAAAGCAGAGGCTCGCTACCAGAGAGCTAAAGCCTTGTCTCCTGAGACTCGGTCACCTAAGAGCAAAGTCCAAAGGCCCTGCATTTTGAGGTAAGACTAGCACCAGACCACAGACTATGCGGTCAAGAGTTGATCCAGCACCAGGTACCAGCCTGAGACAACGAACACCTTATCTCCTGATTGCAGACCGCACGGTCAAGAGTTGAGCCTCGCTGTCAAGCCCCAGTGCAATCAGGCATCCAGCCTGAAGAAACCCAAAAGTCCTTTTCAGGACTGCAGAAGAATATCAGGTTTGTATGATGCTATTTAATGTGTGTGTGGATGTTAAGAGAAGAGCATAGATGTGTTAATATGTATGTTTGATGTGTGAAATGTTATGCATGTGTTTAGTGTGTTAAATGTTAAGAGATTTTATGGACAATTGATAAGATTAGGAATTGTTCATTTATAAGTTGTATTAAGGTTAAGAAGTGTTTTATTTTATGGATAATTAATAAGATTAGGAAACATAAATTGATAAGTTGTTATTGAGGTTAAGAAGAGTTTTATAGATAATAGATAAGTCAAATGGAAGTTAGAAATTGGTTTTACGTATTAGGATTAGTAGGATTGATAGTTGTGATATTAAATTGCCTGTGTGTTACCCATTATCAATCCCCCATGCCTATGAAGATTGTAACCCCCATTGATGCATTGGATATTAAAATTGCTAGTAAAGAATCATTATAAAAACAATTCTCTTGCTTGGTCTGGTCACTCATCCATCTCTGGGGAGAAGGGCACTGAGTCCTCATAGCACTACTCTCAAAAGAACCTTGAGCTGAAACCCAACAGCTCATGACAGGAAGGTAGTAGGTGTCCATAAACCAGGGTTTTCCAGCCTATATGCATATTAGAGTCTCTTGGGGCACTTTTTAAAAGTACCAGAGTTCAGGAACTGTGACTTCACCCTTCAGGGGCCCCAACTCATATATTGTTTTCTGCTGTAATGTGAGACCACACAAGCCGGTAGATCTGCCCTTCCATGGGTAAGTGAAACAAAACACAAAGCAAACCCTAGAGACACTAAACCGGTGCCTCCCAAGCCTGGGACTGTTTAGCCAGCTTCCAAAAGATAAGGGATTCATTTTATGGGGCAGTCACTGTCATATGCTAAAGATGTTTGAGACCCAGATGAAAAAACAGTGAGAAGTGCCCAGCAGGGCCTTCCTGCGGGAGCCAGTGACTTACAGAGTCAGGGCAGATAGCCAGGCTTGCTATAGATGCCAAGCTGCTGCCTGTGTGTGTTAACTATGATTCTTCATAATTACACTTAGCTTGGATTACATCACAGACTCAACCAGACATTAAAACACAGTATCTCAGTCCAACAAACCAAATAGAAGAGAAGACATGAAAAGGATGTGTCAGGAACCATGCTGATTGCCCATTCTCATTTGCATTGACAGCCGCTACCAAAGCTTAAACGGATGCTTGCTGCCCTTTGTGTTCCTTACCCTGTAAGCACATGGTCACACGGGCAGATGCTGCATGTGGTGACATATTGTTTGTGATCTAGCAAATAAAGCCTGTCCGGAGATCAGAGTGAGGAGCTAGCCACTAGTTATCCATAGAGGCCAGGCAGTGGTGGCACACACCTTTAATCCCAGCAGCTGGGAGGAGGAAACAGGAAATGATATGGCTGGGCAGAGAGAGGAAGCCATAAGGCAGGGCCAAGACAGGAGTTTGGCCCCTTTTCAGCTGAGAAGTTCGTAAGGTGGCTGTGGCTTGCTCCTTTGTCTCTCTGATCTTTCAGCATTTACTCCAATATGCAACGCCAGGTTTTTATTATTAAGAACAATTAGAATTAATGCTACAGTATTGGGTCTCTGGCCGTAGATTCAGGGTACACGAACACGTGTGCAGTTAATACCCCTGATCAAGTGGGACTCCTCTAAGTGGGATCCTTAGTTTCTGGGCCTCACCCACACTTCCTAATTCCTTATACTATGAGCATGCTCCTGAGGGATACTGATGCGGTCTACCTGAGGACTATACATCTAGAAACTTTTATTTCCAACTTCAAGGAGCTCCATGGATGCTACAGGGGACCCAAATCTAAGACACAGTGGTTGGTGACAAGGGGCGGGGGCTAGTGAAAAGTAAAGGTGTTCATTACTTTTTATATAGATATGGGTTGATACACGTGCAGGTTGAGTGTGCAGATACGGTTTCTGGAAGGGTCTAAAGAAAAGGCTACTAGTTCCCTTGGGGATCTGGGAAGAGAGCTCAACGGTCCTATGGGCAGCTGTTCGGAGGGTCACACTCAACCCCAGTACCACCCCCTCCTGCTCTCATAGGCTTTTGTATCTTCCATAGAAGACACAGTCTATTCCTACCTTGATGGTTGACTTCTTGGTTTTGGCCAATGGGAGTCCCAGCAAGAGGTCTTATAGTGAGAAGAAAGGCAGGATCTCCTTCCAGGCTCCCTCCTTCTTTGGAACTGGGGCTCTAGCAATATATACATTTGTCTCCAATTAGCTCTTTCCCAACTCAAACTGAACCACACTAACACTTCCTTCTTTGGGCTGTTGGCTAGGGAATTCTCCATGTCCCTGTTCCTCCACTTACCTTGTGTGTACCACTGTAAACAGTCCTTTCATTGAAGTCTCTTCAGTTGAACCTTCCAGAGGCAATCTTTTCTCTCCCAAGATCCTGAGAAGCGAGTCCCCTTTTGTATCATTTCAATATTTTACATGTTTTATAACATCTACCCAAAATGAAAATACTAAAAGAAAAATCATAGCAATAGAAATTTCATCTTGAGTAATCTTCCTAGTGATAAGTCCCAAACACTGTCTGAAGAAAACTGGTCCACTTTAGCTTGCTCTTCATCTTGTTTGGCCTTAATCTGATTTCATCAATGAGTTCCCATGTATCTACCTACAAGCCAGCCCCATCAACAGTTAAGTGAAAGACAAGGGCCAAGGCTGGGGCCTCTCTGTAGTGTACATGGTCCCTGGGTAGTTAGAGAAATATAGTGGTGTGGTGGCATTTCAAATGTATTTTAAGAAATGAAGACTGCCTGAAGATCTGAGTGTAAAATAGTCCCACTGGTCAGCCTTACAGACCAGGAATGGTAACACACACCTTTAATCCCAGTAGCCACCCTAGTTGCCATAGAAATCAGGAGGTGCATGCCTTTAATCCCAGTGTTGAACGCCTTTGATCCCAGCCCTAGAGAGGAATATAATACCAGGAGAGGCAGCTCTCAGATGCAGTCTCCTTCTGAGATTCCAGGAGGCAGGATCTCTATTTCAGATTGAGGTTGAGGTAAGAGCCAGTAGCTGGCTGTTTTATGGATCTTCAGATTGAACCCCAGTTTCTGACCCTGAGATTTTATTAATCGTGCTTCATGGTGGGAAGAAACTTTCAACCTTAACGTCACATGTCTGAGTTCAAATTATATCCATGCCACCTTGTTACCCACCATATTCCTATCCTTTCTGAGCCCCTTAATGGATTCACCGCAACATAGATGACTTTGAAATGTTTATGCTATGAAAAGACACCATGTCCATGAAAACTTTTACAAAAACAAGCATTTAACTGGAAGCTTGCTTCAATGTCAGAGGTGTCAGGGGCCTGGTAACGCTCAGTGCTGGAGCAGTAACTGAGATTTACATCCTGATCCAGAGGTGGCGGGGGCACTTGGGTCTGGCATGGGCTTTCGAAACCTCAAAGCCCACCCCCAGTGGCAGACATCCTCCAACAAGACTACACCTACTCCAACAAAGGCACACCTCCTAATCCCTATAGATAGTGCTGTTCCCTGGTGACTAAGCATTCAAATATATGAGCCTCTTGGGTGCCAGAATAAGAAGTGATACTTGGACGTTATTCCACAACCCTGAGAAGGAAGTCACTAAGCTCTTACCTGTTCTCACTCTGATGTGCATGTACAGCATACACACCTAATCCGTGCCTGAGATGTCTGGAGCAAGGATGGACAGGAGTCACACACGGGAAAGGAACGAGGCCCGAAGCATGGAGATCTGGAGGACCCAAATCTCTAGGCGAAGATTGTGAAAGTTTAATATCTGCTTAGCAAGAGGAACGATTTAAAGTGAGAAGCTGCCAGATGGTATCCACCGTTAATGATGACCATCTGTGAACCATATCATGAATTATTTCCCGCTGTTTGCTTCAGGAGCCAAAATGCCTCCCTCCAGATTCAGGGTCACATAAGGGGCAAGGAAGTCTCGAGATATATGTCGCTTGACATTAGGTAAGACTTATACAATAATAGGAAAGATCACGAATGCTATTCAAAATTAAAATATTTGTATCCTCTAGAAAACCATGTTGACATGTTAGAGGGCCCTGCCTTACCCACAACTGTGCCCCAGGAACGTGAAAGAATGTCACTGTAAGTGGCTTTGGACCTCCTGACCCAGGTCTGAAGGCTTCGGAACCTGCCACCCTCCGCTGGGCTCTCGAAAAGGCTTCAGCTGCCCTTACAGTGCAGGACAATTTGCTGCTGTGTCTCCCCCTTGTCCCCAAGACTCTCTCCTTCCCGTTATCACAGCTGTGGTGAGTGTTCCTCCTCTTTGGTCACCTAAGACCAGGCCACCTGGGTAATCGAGTCCAGTTCCCTGGCACTGAACAAGCTCCCCAATTCTCTGCTGGCCAGTTTCCCTGTCTGTAATGATATTTCAGAAGCATCCCAGCAAAAAATGAATGCAAAGCGCTTGTTGAAGGGTGGTGGGAAGGGGAGTGAAGTAGACCCAGTCTAACCCAGTCACAGGACAGTCCCCTTAGTATTCTCTAAGCCCCGCCCACGCCCCCGCCCCATTGCTTTCCATCCATTCGCCCAAGTGTTCACCTCCTACTCCGGGAGAGGCTCCAGACAGTATCTTTAATGCCTCTTTTTCCCCCTCCAACAACGGGATTTCCTTTCCAAAGTCCTTGTACGAGCCCTGGCACACATGGCTTTGTGAGCCCTCAGCTCCTTCTCTTAGACAGAATAGGAAAATCTGTGTCTCCTGTTTCTCTATGTCTTCTCCCACAATATAATGCACCTGACCCAACGCTGGGACGAGGGAAGCTTCATTATTCCTGTTCATTATGGAACCACCTTGTCCAGCATCAGTTGTTTTTAACCCCTACAATGCAGCAGGAACACCTGGTAACTTAAACATATGCCAAGTCTCAGGTCACACCCCGGAGATCCTGTTTCAGTGAATCTGGAATGGAGCCCACCTCTAGGTATTGGCTTCAAAGCCCCCAGGTAGATTTAATATGCAGCTGAGAGCAAGAAGGGCTGCATGGTATTAACCAGGATGGCTTTGTCCTCGTGTGTGCCTTGCTCCCCATGCCCTTACAGTGCGTGTTCCAGCTATAATCTATTTTAACATATCTAATGATGCGAGTTAAAATGGAAGCCTCAATTCCTTTTCTGATATAATAGGAATCATCATTAGGCATGTGACAACTTTCGGGCACTACCTCACTGGGCAGAAAATCACGCTGTACAAAGAAGTAAGGCACCTGAGTGATTCCCTTTAAAATGAGAGGCTCGTCAATCAGTGATCGGTTCTCTAAGCTCCTGCGTGATGGCAGGCCAGCACTGTGGTGATACTCCAGTTCTGCCCCTCCCCCAAATAATCAGACAGCAATCCAGCAAAGAACAAAGACCAAAAACCTGCCTTGAAGAATTGGGGTCACTAATAAATAATGATGAGGAAATAGGAAAGGGAGAAAAAAAAAACAAGACAAAATTAAGGCTGATGATTTAATGAGGCTGCTATGACAAAGGGTTTGATGGCAAATACTGTCCATGAGAGTCAGCAGCCTTTGATGGTGTCTACAGTGTCATTTCCTTTAAGTGCCTCCATTAATTCAATACGTCCTGAAAAACTTTTCTGAACATATATTTGGAAGACTTTTTGCTAACAAGACAGAAAAAGCAACGCTGAGGAATAGTATTTTCATTTTTGTGGTGCAGACATACTGCAGCTTTAATTACCCAAGAGGTGAAAAGGAAAAAAATAAATCCCAGCAGTCCACAGAATTCTGGAGCAACCACGTGCTTTTCGCTGCGTGGCTCTTCGGCACAATAGTTAAAACAAAGAAGGAATGGAACCCATTAGGAAGCTTGGATGCTACATAACAAATTCGGGTTTCTTAAGGTGGTCCTGGAGACACCAGTGTGCTTTAAATATTCTCTCAGAGAATAATTTTCTTAACAATGGTTTGGAAAGCAAGTCTGTTGACCACTCAGAACCAACTGTGTTCTTACTTTACTGTAATCCATGAAGCTTCGTGACTGAGGTCTGCCTCCTCAACGTCTTCTCTGTAGGACACAATTAAACTAGAATTTGACAGTTTTCTTCTACATCTACCACTTGCCCTTTCCGTGAGCAAAATTATGTATGATTTTTGTGGCATATTTAACTATGTAAAGATTGTTACATTTGTTTGTGATGCACTTGTTTAACTGTGTAAAGATGGGTTACTGTTTGACTTAGCCTGCCTAAGATATCGGATTGGTTTAATAAAGAGCCGAACGGCCAATAGTTAGTCAGAGAAAAGATGGGTGGGGCTGGAAGGCAGAGAGAATAAATAGGAGGAGAAATCAAGTCTCAGAAGAGAAGAATGAGAGGAAGAAGAGAGGAGAGAGTGAAGAGAAAGAGGGGGGCACCCCTGGCACCAGAAGCCAGGCAGCCAACAGCCAGCAGGAAAGTAAGATATATAGGAAGAAAGTTAAAAGCCCCAATGAAAAGCATAGACAAACAGAAACAGATTAATTTAAGTTAAAACAAAACAAAACAAAAAGCTAGCCAGAAACGTGCATAAGCTAAGTGAACATAAACACACAGAGAGGAACAAAGAGTCAGGGAGAGAGTCAAGGAACCTCTAGGCAAATCATTTTAAAATTCTAGCGCAACACGTAAGAGGAAACCCTACCATGCCACCAGGCCTTTCAAGTTCACAGTATGTAGAACAAGAGTTAAGAGAGCTGCAGCTTGCTCAAAGGCAATACTAGGTACTGGAAAGCAGTGGGGAAATGCCTTTCGATTCAAAATCCTCAGCGAGTTAGGCTTTCTCCATTCTTTCCTAGAAAAGCATCAAAGACTATTCATGACGGTAAAACAGGGTGTGAACGAAACCGTGAGAATCTTTCAGTGGAAGAAGGAAGGGATGCTTCATGTAAGGGTGGTGAGATGGGGGGTCGCAGAGTCCTGTGTCGTATCCTGCCAGTGTCTGACATCATCCCTGGTTCGTTTGTTTCATTACTGAGTTTGGGTCTTTAATTTTGCTGGTTTATTTTATCTTGGCCATTTGGTGAGTGTGTATTGCTATACCATCATGGCGTTCATTTGCACTTCTCTGGTGACTAAGTGCTGAGTACCTTTATTGGTTTCTATTGCTTGTTTATGTATTGTCTGTTCAAGCCAGTTTTTCAAATTATAAACAATATCTCCTTTAATTTGCTGGCTCAATGGGATGCTTAAAGTGTCTTTTGAATCCGAGCCATCTAACTGCAGTTTCAACTTGAGCTTTCAGTGTAGGGGTGATAAAGGAAGAGTGAAGTCAGAAAGACAGACCAAAATTTATAGGGTTAAACCAGTGGCCAGATGACACTATCTTCAATAAATATTTAGATCTAACACAAACATTAAACAGCACCGAAAGTTGGATGTTTGTCCCTATTATCTCTTGTTTGCTTCAAAATAATATTCTGAATTTAAAATGTAAATGTCTCGGGGTCTGAGAACATAGATCAGTTGGTAAAATGCTTGATTGCAAACACAAGGATCTGAGTCCAATGCCCAGAACCCACCTAAGAGGAGGTTTGGAGTCCCAGGGCGGGAGAGACAGAAACAGGTAGATCTCTAGGGTTCGCAGGCCAAAGAGTCTAGCCTGACTGTTGAGCTCAGGCTGTGAGAAGCCCTGTCAAATTAAAGTGGTGTCGGAAAACAGCACCAGGTTGTTGTTGTCTGTTCCCCTAACACATACACACACATATGCACACATGCATGTCACATAAAATAAACTATGAAAATAAAAAATAAAAGGTTTTGGCAATAATTATTGAGAGCCACTAACAAAAGTTATGATTCTATTGGGTGGTGGGTAGAAATAACTGAACACTGCTTTTGTGGCTTTTTACATAGAAAAAATAATTGAAAATACAGATCTAGGTTCAAACTGTGGTATGCCATGTTAGAAAAGCTAACTGCTCTAAATCCCTGTTTCCTCATCTATGATATGAGAATGGCAGTATTTAGAAAAAGTTAACTATTACTATCCTTGTCTGTGAGGTAATGGTAGTATTTTTAAAGATTCATTGATGAAAATATTGTCTGCATAGAGCAAGTTTATGTTGGAAAGAACATTGTCATTTATTATGATGTATTTAAGGAGTTAAAGAATGTAATGTAAACGTTAATAAAGAAGGGGGGATTTAAAAAATAAAATTTAAATTTTTTATTTATAATTAGTAAAATAAAAAGAGATTTAAAAATACCTTAAGGATATCATTGGCGCTACAAACAGTAAAAAGTGTTTTATTTCTCTAGCACCTAAGACTTGGAAAAGAGCCAAATGACAAATATATATCTATGTCATTTAATGGCTAGAGACCCGTCATCATTTGGTGACAGGCGTGGTGTTCCACGCAGTGGGACCAAATGTATGTTGCACACTGGTTTCTCTGGAGGGGCTATTATTCATCACAGCTGAACGTTCCCTTCAGAGAGCTCCCACTGGAAGGGAAAAGGCACACTGGCACTTTAGAGACGAAACCAACCCACGTTTGGCTTTGAGAGCTAGCTGGGAACACTGCATGCAGTCTGTTAGCTATTCTTGGGCACGTTCTGATTTCTGATGGAAGTGCTGTGGTTTCCTTTTGTTATCCTCACAGTAAAACCAGAAAGCAGCAAAGAACCGTGAGAGGAGGACCGGGGTGGAGCCTTCGTTAGTCAGCTAGTTGGCGTCCGGGGAAGTTTTCTTGGTTCAGTTGCCATGTAAAAATAGTCATAATCACACAGACCTGGGTTTAGAATCAGGAAGATGGTCTTTGTCCCTAATATTTATCCCTGTCCCCACCCACCTTAGAGATAATGATAAAGTCACCTTCATTTCTAGAAATCCCAAGCATGCTCCGATGGAATGTCCCGGGTCTGGGGTCCACAGACATTGCTTTCTTGAGTCAGGGCATGTGCAGGGTCTACACAGAGACCACTCCTCAACACTGACTGAACTGGTCTGACTGACAAGTGGAAATGTATAGGTTGCTTGACTAAGGAGTCTCGATTTAAGGTAATAACATTTCTGATTAACCCATTTCTGGCTAATCCATTTCCGGCTAACCCATTTCTAGTTAATCCTGTAGCTCTTATAGCTTCTCAGTCTCCATTTCACCCCAAATGCTACAATCCTGCATTTGCAGGGGGTGGGATAGTGTGCCATGCCAAAGCACATGTGTGTACATCATCTGGCCTACTTATAACAGGACACGTGAGGGAGACATGAGGTGAGGACCATAATGTCCGGTTTCAAATGGGAACCCTGAACCGTGAGAAGACTTAGCCATTTGCCCAAAATCTCACAACTAGTACAGAAATGGGGCTCAAATCCAGAAAGGGAAATGGTCCAACACTTCACACTGCATACCTGAAATATTTGCTGCAACATAAATAGGACATCACCTTCTGTCGTGATGAGTTCAACCTGCATT